TCCATCCCCATGGACATTTATTATTTCTTTATGTTGGGAACTCTCTACTACTAGTTTTGAAATATACAATTAATTTGTGTCAACCATAGTTATCTCACTGTGTTATAGAGCATTGGAAGTTATTCCTACTATCCAAATGCAACCCTGTGCCTGTTAATCATTCTCTCTCCCTCCCCTACATCCTTCCCAAGCTCTGGTAACTACTGTTCTACTCTCCACTTCTATGAGATCAATGTTTCAGCTTCCAGATATGTGAGATAATGAAGTCTTCATCTTTCTGTGACTGTGCAACTTCACTTTTCATGAGGAAAATGACCCTGACAAGGATGTGCTCCTCTGCCATGTTCTTGGGAGATATCTATTGGCCTCGATTTCTTACTCTAATCCCAGAATGAGGGCCAAAGAAGTCCTACTGGGACACAAGGGGAAGCAAGGAGGGTAAGAGAAAAAGTGAATCATTGAGAAGAGTAGCACTTTTCAGTTTTGTTGGGGTTTTTGAGACAGAGTCTCCTTGTGTATACAGTTCAGGCTGATCCTGAACTCACTATATAGCCCAGGCCAGCCTCAAACTCTTAGCGATCTTCCTGCCTCAGCCTTCTGAATACTAGGATTATGGGCATCCATCACCACACCAAGACACTTGTTGGTTTTGCAGACCAGTCTCAAAAGTTACAGGAAGAAAGAATTTAGTTGAAAAAAAAAGCACTAACACTCAGGCTGGAATGGGCTGTGTAAGGAAACAGCCAGAATGGAGAGTCCTACCCTCTAACAGTTCTTTCATTTGCTGAAAAAACTGTCTTTCATTCTGAGTGCTGGCTTTTCCCAAATGTGTCCAGATTCTTGACTGACATTTGGGGACAGAATTTTCTTCCACACCAAAGCACAAAGGATTCCTAAGATGCTTCAAACGGGAGTTCTAGGTCTGTTCCTCTCTTCTGATAACAACAAGGCTTTGAGCTTCCGGGAAGGGGAAAAAATGAGCTGAGCTGGATGGAGAGATGCAATGTGAATGAATACAGATTTATTCCAGGAGGAAATGTCTATACTTGTTACTGAATTTACTCTAGGCCAACAAAAGGTATCCCATCCCACCCTACCCACAGCTTCGCCTGGCCACTTGAGGTTCAGCTGCCGTGATTCAGGTCAGAGGCCCATCAGACAGATCTCTCAGCCTGCCTCCTAGTGTGATTCTTTAGATATGCACTGATTTTGATGGTCACAGGGACATGGTAGCAGTGGTATAGGTAAAGGATGTTCTCAGCCAGAATGTGGGTGTGAGTCTAAGAACCACCAGAAGTCTTCGCCCATTGGACATTCCTAACAAGGTAGGAATGGAATATAGGATTCCAGAGCACCAACTAATATATTTTTACAGTCTCAGAAACATATGATCTTAATAACCAAATAAAAGAATCTTAAAGCATTGAAATGCATTAGCAGGAGAAATAGTGGTTAAAGAATCAGAGTATGACTTCACTTGGTAGCTGGATAAATGATACGGAGTTACCTAACCTCTGTGAACCTGTTTCATCACTCACTGGATGGTCATACTGGTGCATAAAGTATGATGAGGACTTAAATAAGTCTGTGCATTTAAAGGATAGTGCAATAGACTCAATATTCATATCCACTATCCAAATTCACATGTTGAAACCTAATTCCCAAGGTGATCCTATTTAGAGGAGGGGCCTTTGGGAGGTGGCTAGGTCATGAATATAGGGTCCTGCTGAATGGGATAGGGATGTACAAAAGAGACCAAAAAAACTCCTCAGGCTCTGGGATACCACCTGAGGGTAAAATGAAAAGAGCTGTCTAGGAACCTGGAAATGAACCCTCACCAGATGCCCAGTCAGCTGATGCTTTTTATCTTGAACTTTCCACTCTCCAGAATTGTGAAAAAATAATTTATGTTGTTTATAGGCCACCCAGTCTATTCTGTTTTAGCATCCGAATGAACTAAGACACATGGCATTGAGTCTGGCACATAATAATGCTCCTAGGAGCTCAAATTTTCCTTAAGAAGGTCATGAAGTCTTAGAGCTAAAAGTGATCCCAGAGATCATGCAGTGAGTCCAGTGCCCAGGTAGTGATGCTTGGCACGAGAGGGCTCAATAAAGAAGCCCCTGGGTAGGCTAGGCCCCCTACACTGCCCAGCCAAAGGAAAGGGCACTTTAACCATGGACAGACTTTGGAGGCCCAAACCTCCAGGGCAACTTTCTGCATTTACTGACTCACTCTGCAGAGAGAGCTTGAGTGGGTCCAGCTGTCTATAGGCACCAGCAGGCTCAGCACAGGAAAACAGAGCTGCATCCTCCCTCCCCTTGCTCTGGGGTTTAATCAAAACTGTATTCTAAATATGATTGTGGGAGATTATATTGGGGGATTTGCAGGAGCCTGGCAGTGGGGCAGAGATGGTGGGAACAGATTGTGGCTGGGGGCTGAGGCTGGGATAATCTTCGGCGCAGACGTGCCATTCTCAGCCCCTCTGCCTGGACCCCAGAGCTTCCTACCAGCTCTGGAGACTCTGAGCTTCAGAGCAGAGAAGTAGATTACTCAGTATTTTACAGAGGAGCAGAGGCTTGTCCATGGTGCATAACCAAGTAGTGATGCAGTCTAGCAAGGAAAGCAGGTTTCCGTGCTCTTCTGCTCTTTTTATACCTCCAGACCTTTTGAACAATCCTGGGCTGCATGAACTTGCTCAGGGTTGGGGCCAGAGGTCCCCAGGTCAAGAAATGGTTCCTAGAGCTGGAGAAACAACTTCTGAGGGCCTGGAAAGTAGGGAGGGCAGCCTGCTTTCCGTGGCTCAGCACCTACCTAGGGCTGAGCCACTAGAAGCCCAGGCAGGCCAGAGTCCTCCACCTCTCAGCCTTTGCATCCTAGCCTCTGCCATATGACCTTGGGCTTAGATGGGTCCCTTCTCCAACTCGGGGTTCAGTGCCCATCTCCCAGTGCTGACTCTAAGTGTGATGCTAAGGGATCCTCTTTTCTACATGCAATGTTTAGTCTGATCCCCGTCCTCAAGTGGAGGCCACAGGGATTCCTCTGCTTTCTGAGCATCTCTAGAGGGGTCTACCTGGCACCCGGGGTGAGGGGTGGGGGGGCGTCGAGACGGCCTTGAAAAGAAACCTCTAGCTAATGCTCTTTATTACACGCTTTAATCCCGCAAAGCCGACTGGAAATAATGTTTATCTTTTCGCAGTTTAATTTTCCGCACCCTAAGCCGGGGGTCAGCAAGGGCGCCTGGAGTGTCCTCGGGAAAGCTGGGAGGTGGGACCAGCTGTTACCCAGGAGCAAAGCGAGGCAGGGAGGGAAGGGTCTCCTCCTGGAGAAGGGGAGAGAGGCAGAGCGCGAGCAGGAACTTGAAACAGGAATTGGACCCACCCGGAGTGTAAAGCTGGGGTGAGTCCGTCGCCATCGCGGAACGGTGTGACCCTGAGCCGAGCTCCTGCCTTCTCATTTGGCCCCAGTTTACTTAGCTGAAGAAGAAGGTGTATTTTTTTCCTCCCGCAATCCATGAGTTTTAAAGACCTTTGAGACTCCGAATGGGTCTTTTCTGTTGAAAAGGAGGCCGGGTAGGGCGGAGGTGGGGCGGAGGGACGGCTTGCAGCGTCAGCTCCGTCTCCATTCCTAACTTTCCCCTTTCCCCTGCGCACTCCAAGGACCTGAACATTTCCGGCCGACTCTGCGGCCCCTTGTGGCCCCAAACGTCAGTGACTGCTCGACTGGGGCCCGCGCGGATCCGAAGGCAGTCCCTCAGACCCGCGGGCCGCGCCGGGCACTACCTGGCCAGAGAGGCCGCTGTTTCAGGGCCCAGCCCTTAGGGGCGCACCCCAGCCGCCCGCCTCCCGTTAGCACCCCGCCCAGGGCCCTCTTTGCCTGGGGCAGTAGTAGAGCGCTCCCTCGCTGGGTAAGGCGGAAGGCACTAGACCCAAATTGCGAACTCAGTCAGGCAGCTTTCTCCAGACTGCACGGCGCGGGCACCTTTAAATCTGTCTGACCCTCGCCTCCCAGGCCAGACACTGCTCCAGGGGGGACAGGGCGCCCCCTGACCGTCAGCCCTCATTGGTTGGCCTGTACCGGAAGTGTTCGCTGACACGTTCTATGAAAAGGAAAGAATGTCCCCTCTCCTCGTACCCCTTCGGCCTTTCGACTTTGTTGTTGGAGAGGAGCAGTGCCCAGCACCGTGCTAAGGGACAGGCAAGATTATCTTCACTGCCCCTTCTCCAGTGAATCTACAAGCCAAGTTCGAGTCCGGGAACAACTGCTGGTATGATAAATATCCTGCTCTCCGTCAACCTCTCTGGCACATCAACGTGGGGGGGTCAGCCTGGCATGGCTGCTCCGTTGGTTGCACAGCCTTTGGATGCTAACGCGCAGGCGCCCGTCGCCTGGTCAGCTCCACTCCAGGCTATTAAGGGACCTGAGGTATGCAGCCCACGCTGCCCTGTTCCCAGAACCCCTAGCTACATTCTGTCCGCTCCTTCAACCCTGACCTCACCAAGCCCCCCTGGCAAAGATCAGCCGTACAGCTTGAGTTAGGCTTGATTATTTTTAAGGACACAAACGCAGGAGAAAAGATGAAGGTGGTCCTTGGGGACCAGGTGAGCAATGAAGTTACAAAGTGAAGGGAGCCAGGTAAAACGTAGGGGTGGTCAAGAGAGGAAGCAGGTCAGGCCCTTTATCCTGAGGGGAAAGGAGATTTGATAGAGTCCTTGGAGTGGGTGGGCTAGCCCAGGCTTCCCCCTTGGTCTTCCTCAAGATGCAGTGGCCCCTGCGCTGCGGGAGATTAGGGACAGGCTTGCCCACCAAGCCTGCTCTGCGTGCAGGGACATCTCTAGGACGGTTTCTGTGTGCCTCTTAGGTGAAGGGCGAGCTCCTGCTCCCTGTCAAGGTCTTGCAGCTTGTTACTGTAGAGGTGAGTTCCAAAAGGGACCCATTTCCAAGTCTTCTGCAAATTGAAGCCATTGCGCTAACCTGCTGAGAGAGGAAAGGCTGATTAAAACCCAAAGGCCACTTGGTGGTGGTTCCTAGGAAGTCGGAGGTCAGCAGGGTCTCATCTGGGGGGAAGTGAAGGCCTAGAGGCAATTTGTTTGCTAGAGGTATCCTTGGATGCCTCTGTGTAAACTCAAATAACAATGTAACCCAATTTTCTAAGTCAGTAGCTAATCCTGAGAGAAATTACTACAAAGGGCAGATTCTGACAGTAATTGCTGGAGGCTGTTTAATGCTTGGGGAATGTCCCTTTGTGAAGTGAGATTCCCTTCCTCCAGGCCCTCAGCACAGCACCAGAACCTAGTGCAGTCAGGAGATGCCCTTCCTGCATGAGGATGAGCTCTTGGGAGCAGCACTCTCCAGGGGCAACACAAAGCTCTGCTTCCAAGGCGCTGAATGCTGGAGCAGTCTACATTTCCAGGGGGGTTAGTGGGCCATGGAGAAGGCTCCAGGCTGGACTTGGGCACTGAACTCCAACCCATAGCATGTGTCTGGCTCACCCCCTCAGATGTCTGCAAAATCCCAGGTGCCTGACCAACCCTAGGAAAAGCTTGGTGCCAACACAGCTAGTGTTCTCCAAAGGGCAGACAGAGGACGAGGGCAATTGTGCTAGAGGGGCATGGTGAGACACACTTGGTGCACCTTGCAGAACTCTGGACCACGAAGGCACAGATGTAGATTGTCCATATTTTCAAAGACTTGCTATATGATTCCAGGTAAATTGCCTCCGTCTGAGTTTGTTACTATTACTTGGCTTATAATGAGGGAGGACTAGAACTTTGATCTCTAAGCATCACTTAGAGGAATGCTATGCGATACCAGGTCTGAACCTGGGCTTGTGCAGAGGCATAGGCTGTGTCTCAGCTGGGCAGGTGATGGATGGGCATCTTTTGGACACACACTAGCGCCCCAGGGCCCTTGGGGGCCCACTACCTTCTGCTCCGGACGGGTATGGGCACTGCACTGAAGGCTCCCTCCGCCTTGGGCACTGCGTACAGTTTGGCGGCAGCCCCTGCAGGGCGAAGATGGAGGTTCCAAAGATTTTGGCTTCACAGGAAGCTTCTTCTTCGCAAGCTGAGTCTCTGGGGACCAGAGGTCGCCTGGTGGAGCCTGGAGGCTGTCCGGAAATCATATGGCACTCAGGACTGCGAGGCCTGGGCCGGGCTGAGGGAGCGCCTTCCACAGCACTGGGTGCCACGGTGTGTGCCAAAGACCAGATCCGCGGCTTCTCTCGGAATGGGTAGTGCATGATCCTGCGGCCCCCGGGCTCTGTCACCATGAAGTCAGCTTCTCCTGACCCCGGGGGCTCATTCAAGGAGAAGCGGGGCGCCGTGAGGCTGCACACCCCTCTCTCCAACCGGCCCTCTCGAGCTGCGTTGCACCGCGGGGGCAGAGACTGCGCGCCCTTATGGAACTCCGCTAGCCTGTCTGCAGCTGTGGCCGCCGCCTCCTCTTCTTCAGCTTCCTCCTCTTCTTCCTCTTCCTCCAGGTCTTCCAGGTCACTCAGTCTGAGCCCCTGGGCTTCCTGATTAGCAGTAGTGTCTGCAGGAAATCGAGAGCAAGTGAGCAAAGCCCCCCAGGATCAAGGGAAAATCACGGGAGTGCACATCCCTGTGAAGATTTTAGCACGGCACAGCCTGCACCCAGGGCACTCTATAATCACCAGACCTGCCACACCATCTCTTGCACATCCCCCAGGGCTGACTCTTGGCCCCAAAAGACTCCTCTCCCTGCAGCACCAAGCCAAGCAAGGGCCATTTGGCGATGCTGCAGTCTGCATCTCAGTTCCTCCACTGTAAAAAGAGGAGGGTTAGCTTTTAGCCAACTTCTACAACCATAGGTAGTTGCTGCTACATCATTTTATTCAGTAAATATTTGAGTCCTGTGTGCCCAGAATCACTCAGGCACTTAGATATTTAGGGAGTACAGCAGTAAGACATCTAGTGGAGAGGACATTCCGTAGGGAATTCCAGGCAGAGTGAAGCACATCGGCAAAGACTCTGGGGTATGCAAAGGATGAGTTCAAGGAGCACCTTGCAGAAAACCTACACTGCAGGGTGGCTTCCAATCAAACTGCTTGATGGCATGTGAAACCCATCAGGTGGGGTGATGATACAGTGGGTACCTTTGGTGTCACTGTTTAGGAAGCCCAGTGACTCCTCCACCTTCCTCTCCTCCCCCACTTTGTTCTTGGGTGCCCACGTCATCTTGTTCTCCTTCTTGAGGCGCCGGCGCGCGTTGGCGAACCAGGTGGACACCTGGGTGAGGGTCATCTTGGTGATGATGGCCAGCATGATCTTCTCGCCCTTGGTGGGGTAGGGGTTCTTGCGGTGCTCATTGAGCCAGGCCTTGAGCGTGCTGGTGGTCTCCCGGGTGGCGTTCTTCCTTCGTCCTGCACTGCTCAATTCCACCCCACCATACCTGTGGAGAGAACTCTGCTCAGGTTTTAGGCTGGGAACTAGGAGCTTAGAGCAGGGGACAGTTTGCTGCCTGGAAGAGTGGTTCTGCTCCCTCCCTTCCCCCTTCTCCACCCTCCCCCCATCCTCTCCACTTTGGCAGGGGAGCCTGCTAGCAATGTCATCCCCCCTCCTCACCGGTCATAGTGGTACTGCCCCAGAGTTGGTTCATAGGGATAATAGGCTCCTGGTTGTGCCAGGCTGGGTGTCAAACTCCCTGCAGCTTCCTTAAATTCATACTGTGGATTCTGGGGGTGAGAAGAAAAGAGAATTCAGGTCTACACTTGGGCAGGATGCAGGTGGGATCATGGGTTCTGTGGCCAAGTCTAATTCACATCCTGGTACTACTAATCTTATTGGCTGTGAGACCGTGGGCACAGTGGTTTAACTACACTGTGCATCATGCCCTCCACTGGTAAAATGGTGATCATAGCCTATAGGTTATGAAGAAGACCATGCTGACAGAGGCTTGGCAGAATCTCAGGGACAAAATAAGCAGTAGTAATGAGCTACAGGTATTCTTGTTGTTACTTTTGTCTCCCACCACATTCAGGGCTGCTAGGGTACTTCTCAACTTTACTCTCCTTCCAGAGCTATCCCTGTCCCCTTACATCTTTGTGACTTTCAGTGAGGTACTTGAATCCCTTTGTGCCTCAATTTCTTCATCTTGAGAACAATGATGACCTGTCTACCTCACAGAATTAATAGTAGTGTATTTTCTAAACAGCATAGAATTCTGCAAACTGGAAAGTGCTATAAAGTTGGCTTTTTCTCGTATACAATACACAATCCTAAACGTTTCCTTTCCTAGGGAGTTGTGTATCCCTCCTAGATTTTCCCTAGAGAGGCTTCACTGGATTTCACCTGCAGCTGCTGTCCGTGCCCCCACATTCGGCCCTGCATACTCACCAGGGCCCCATACAGTGCCGTTGGCTCTGGGCCATAGGGCAGATATCCAGGGTAGCTCTGGGCGTATGGGGCTCCGTAGATGCCCAAGGCTGCTCCCAGCTCAGGCCTTGAACTGCCCAGTAGTCGACCGTCATAGGGTGCACAGCAAACAGTGGATGCTGGGGTGGAGCCTGAGGCCACACCTGAGACTGAAAGTGGGGCAGATTCGCAGCAAGTGGTGCTGGAACTTGCAGACACCAGAAACTAGAAGAAGAAGATGGGAAAGGGGTCACTGGAGGTCAGAGAGCTGTACTTCCAGCTGGCAAGAACCAGGTGATCCCTTCACTCATTCCTTCATTCTGCTGTGCGCTCAGCATTCTGCTAGCTTCTGGGATGGGAATTTTCAGAAGACAATCTACTCAAACTGCTCTCGTAGATGTGCTTATGCCATAGCTAACCCTCCAGAGTCCAAGGGGGTTCAGGAAATGTGGACATTCAGAAACCAGAATTAGAAACCAAATCCCTAGCTCCCACCTCTACCCACCCCTATCGGATCGGATCCTACACAGGCAGAGGTAGAAGTTGGCTTTAGAAGCCACCATCAAGATTTTATTCCTTTTCCCATTTTATAAATAGGCAATCCAGGACCATGAGTAGAAGAGTCCAAGATCACACCGCAGGTCAAAGGTCAACCTGGCACTAGCTGCTAGGAAAATTCACCCGAATTCTGGGGGGAGAAAGGGAGAACACTGTTGGCTGTCCCCAGAATTTCAGCAGAAAACTCTTATATTGCCAGGTTTGGAAAATCTAGAGAGCCAGAGGCACAGATCTTGGACCAGCCGGAGGAGGAAGGATAAGAGCAAAGGTCAACAAATGAACAACAGCAATATGGTGAGAAGACAGCGCTCTGGCCAGGAAGTCTTTTCTGAGTCTCCCATTCACCTCACACCTCGAAGAGGTGGCCTGACTAGAAGATCCCTGAGATCCCACCCCCCTCGCTGAGCGCAGGGTCAGGGCGCCCGCGTTCGGGTCACAGGATTCTCCAGCATGCACTTGGGAGTTTTCAGTCCGGAATTGGGGATGTCAGATGAGGCCATCACACACTGCCAGTTGCTTGTTTTCCCTGGCTTCCCCAGCGACATGCCGAAGGGGAGATGCTCAGGGCTAAGGGCGACGCAAGTCAAGGGTGGGAACAGACGAGCACTGGACACCCGTTCCACCCAGCCTGTTCCCACTCCCCCCAAAGGCACTTCTTACCTGGGAAGCGCCGCCGTAGGGGTGTCCGAAGTGCGAGAAGGACATAGTGGCTGTTCTTGGCCTGTCTCCCTCTTCCCTTATGAGTTCCCTTCTTAGCCCCGCTGCTGGGCGCCCCTAGCCAAGCGGCGTCTTGCTCCTTACACCGCCGCTGGAGCCCGCCGCTGGTTGCTCTGCACGTTTGGTGCAACGGGAGGCAGAGCCGAAGGCAGCCCAGCTGCCGAGCCCTGCGCTCCGGAAGGCGCCCCTCCGGCCCGTGGGGTCCAGAAGACAGAAGGGCCCATGGATGGGAAGGGGAAGGAAGAATGCGCGGGTTCCGGGAGGCGCGCGGTGGCGAGGCGCGGCGTGGCGCGGGGCTGCGAGGCTCCCGAGGTGTCCTGCTCCAAGGTGGCCAGAGGCTCAATGTGACGTCACGGTAATCTCGGGATGCCAGACGGGACCCCGGGCCCCGGGGCCCCGGGCCACCAAGTGCGCCAAGTGCCGCCAGCCCGTGTGCGCGCGCGCGCACTCTCTAGCCACACTCACACTTGCTCCGAGAGGTTTGTGCAGCTGGCGAGGAACGTCAAAGACCCTGACCCTCTGCTAAACGCTAGGTCCTACCCCCTTTCCCCCCAAGCTCAGGCGCGCGCACTCACATAGAATCTCTACAAATTACCCGGGAGAAGTAGGAGAAACGCCTCCCTCTGCGCCGCGCAGGCCCTGGGAGCAGCAGGGCGCTCACCTCCTCCCCCGCGACCCGGAGGAGGCTAGAGGTAGCCGGGGCGGCAAGGGAGGAGAGAATACAAAAGAAGAGAAGAGATCGGAGAAAAGTGGGGGAGAAATGCAAGAGGGAGAAGGAGGAGGGGAGAGGCGAGAAATGAGGAGTCTAAGCGAAGAGAGAAGTGCGCGGGAGGGGGAGGAAACCGAGGTGGGGAGGCTAGGCGGAGGCTGAGCCTGCAGGTGGAGAGCGGCAGAGGCTCTGTGGGGAGACTGTCCAGCCCAGCTCCTCCGCCTCTCTGTTGCAGGAAAGTTTGTTCGCACCACCGGCCCAGCGCTGGTTGGTACACATCGGGGATGCGTGGATGGATCCCACTGGGCGGTCCATCTTTGTCCCCTGGGATCTGCTTCCTACTTCAGTCTCTAGCTAATTTTTGCTCTCCAAGCCCTGTCCTTAGATACTTGACCCTGGGCTTTTCTGCAGCCGCCTGGCCCCGTAGTAAGCCGAGTAGCGCCCCCTTAGGCCAAGGTTCGGGAACCTTCAGATGAAGCCTGGAAAGGTGCCAAGTGTGACCCTTGGCATCTGCGTATTTTGCGCTGAGACCTCTCTGAGCATCTCCTCCAAAGGCGAGGCTTGGCTGCCTTGCCGGAGTCTCCTGCAGTGTACGAGGGGGAGCTGGGGAGCTGGAGGAAGGCGCCAGGGCCGGGCTGCAGCCCCTGTACTCCGCTGGGGGTGGCGCCGGAGAGCTGTAGTGAAGAGCTCCAGGAGGAGACCCCTTTCCTGCGCTGCTCCGCCAGAAAGGCTGGCTGGGCCCAGCAGTGTGCCCCCTACCCCATCCCTGAGGTCCTCAAAAGGGCACCGATGGGCTTGGACTTGGGATGCTTACCGGTGCCCAGGAGAAGGCTTCCTCCTCTAGGCCTGCCTCCCAGGTGAGGCATGGGCAGTTTGCAAGCGTTGTAGACTCTGTGCACCTGAAGTCTCAATTCCCAGGCCCCAAACTCCCTTACGAGGGCCTCCACAAGGGACCTGTGACCTAGGGGTGAAAAGGGACTTTCAGTCTGGTGAGAGAAGGTCTTAGGCAAGTGCCACCAAGTATATGGTGGAGTTTACAGCCAGGAAACATCAGGAAGCCTTTCTTTTGGTGCAGAAACTCAGGGGATGCTTGACACTTTATAAACCTCTCTCCTGGGTCCGTGTTGAAACCCCTCAGAAGAGTCATGGGGGCACAGCTAGAAATAAATGTTCTAACTGAAACAAGACCAACCGAGTGGCCCAGAGGATAGGACCAGCTCTGGGTTCTTGCCAGGCAGAAAGCAGCCAGCCATAGGAGCAATGCCTGCCCCCTGGCCTGCAAATCTCTTACCACTAGCTTGCCTGTGGCACCTTGCCGAAGGGATTGGTAGGCCCTCTGGACCCAGTGACCTCTTCAGAATGCCATTTCAAGCTCTACCTCCATCCTTCCCCCCTTTTTTTCTTCATAGATTCTGCAGAATGAACAAGGAGCTTAAAGGGACCACAAACCACAGGGTCCTCTGCCAGAGAGATTACTGACAGGGGGACAAGTTCCATGCTAAATACTGAGAAACCCAGCTGCAACTGTGGAGTGTGGTTACCTTGGAGAAATCTTGCTCTCAACCTGGGAAACTTCTAGCTAGAAGAAGAATTATGGTCATGGCCAAATTGACTTAGTGATAAAAATTCACAGTAATAAATATACCCCTTGATTTTTCAAAATGCACTTTGGAGCCATCTACCCATTTGCAGCTTGGATACATCTAAGGTTTTTTTTTTTTTTAAAGTAAGAATTGGAGAGTATTCCTTAAATTAGTCCCATGAGGAAGATTACTACTAATTAATTAATTGCAAACATTTCCAGAGGGAAGGTATGTCAATTGTAAGGTAATAAAATTAGATAGTGGAAACACTTACTCAGCAACTTTGCCCATTTTTTCCTATGCAGAATTATTTTATGAGAGAAAAATAGGGATGCTGGTGGAGAAAAAGCATTAGCCTTGTCCCTTGACGATATAGTTGCCAAGCAGAAACTACCATATAGGATTTATTGATTTTCAGCTGATTTATAAGACCTTTCTGGTATCAATGCAATGAGCAGGAGCACCAGGCCCACCTCTTGTTTTTGCTCTAGGACTGGAGAAAAGTAACAAGATTTTTAAAAAGAAGAGAAAAACCAGTGACAAAATAAATTGGGAGATAAGTCTATAATGAAATCTCAGCATTTTTCTTCCTCTGTAGAAATGGGAAACAAACAAAAGACCATGTTTTAAGTGATGGTGCCTTATGTATTGTCTTCAAAGTAGTTTTATAATCGACTTTGGGGGCTTCTCTCAGAATGTTTCCCAGGGAGGAAAGCTTTGTCTCCTTGTGTTTGCACATTGTAAGACCTCAATTTAATATTTCCTTTTCAGGAAGAGCTCCCTGTATGGATGACATTTGATTGTTACTATCTTGAATATTTAGTAGGATTCCCAAAAAATGGTGATCATGAGATGTGCCCATTCTTCCCATTATTTTGAGACTCTCATAACAAAACAAAGCCAGTAGGCTAAACCAATATCAGCCTCTGTCTGGCAGAAACCTCAGGTGGAAAGAAGTCTATTTCTTGGAAAGTCTGATTCAGAGATGCTGCAGTAGAATTTTCTTTCGTCTTCCTGTCTCCTCCCAGGCCCTCACTTCTGCAGCCTGGTGCTCTGGGCTTCTCCACTACGGCAGCTTTTCATTGCTTTGTTCAGCACTGATTAATTTAGTTTCAGGGGAAAAATCCCCAATTGTCTATGTGTGCACATAGAATTTTATTGAAGCAAGTAAATAAACTTATCAAATACAGTTATATTTAAGGGAGTCATCCTACCAAATGTATTTTGAACAAATGATATAGATTTTTTTTTTTGCTGTATTGTGCAACATGCCTGAAAGTTCCTCTAGCTGCTCATTAAAGCTAATATGAAACAAAGCAAACAAAGGCTTATTTGGACCACAGAGAGTACGAATCCACATTGTTTATTTGAAGTTCATATTGCTTTGCCTTAAATGCACTGAAGTTTCTGAGCAGGCAGAGTAAAGGATGTGTGTTTGACAATAAGCTTGAAGGAAGCAACTTCAAAAAAGGGGGGGGGGACAAATCACATTGCATTATTCAGGGCTAAAACTGTCTATGATTTCCTAATGATTTATAAAGACAGCAGATTTTACAGGGGGAAAGTAACAAACCTTAGATGTTTCCAAATAGCTTCAAATATCTCAAATCACAGATGGAATGAGTGGCATGAGCATAATAACATAGCTGAAAAATGTGATAAATTATATTTTTTAAGTATGGAGTTTTTTAGTGATTGTTTTTGAACTGAGAAGATTGAAATTTCCTCAAATCTATGCATGAATGAACAAGTGCATCTGGACAGATGCATCCATAATTTATACTGATCAGTCACCATGGGTCTCCCCAAGTAAAGCTGAAATGAACACTAATTGTTTTGACGGAAGTAGTGTGCACAGCATCTGATTGTGAAATTCAGTGAGACCCTGCCTTGCCTGAATACATATTGTCAACAGCAACTCTGGCATTGGGAGAGGAAAATAAAAAGGCAATAATTCCCAGATGGGGGTTTTGACATTGCTTGTCAGGAAGGTGGCACACATAAAGAATTAACTTCTTTGAGATAAAGTCTAAAATGAGACTGAATGCAGAGATCCTGGCTTGTCATCATTGCACCTGAGGTTAGAGTTAAAATTGATGGCTTGTTAATAATAGCAAAATTCCTTTGCATTGTTTTGAGTACTTGAGAAACACCTCTGCTTTGTTTTGTTAAAGGCTCAGGATAATATTGGAGAGATGAGGAACAAGTTCAAGGTCATCACCATGCAGATGGCAGAGAAGAGACCAGAATCTAGACCTCTTGATTTTGGATCTTTGTGTAAGACCATATGTTAAATACATGTGCCAGACACAACCAGGAGCTGTTGCTCACTCCAGCTGAACTTTTTGAATTCCTGTGTAGTGCCTTGTGACAGCACAGTGTAATTTATCAGAGAAAATATCTAAAGCGATGCTACTGTGACCAAACGAGTTCAGAGTCTCTTCTGCAAGCTTTTATATCAGTCTCTATTATGAAAGGGCTTATGTGATAACTTGGGAGTTTTAGAAATTTGGTATAGATCATTCATTAATATAACAAACAACAAACAGATCCAGCTGTGACTCATAAGTATTCAAAAAACAAAAACAGCAACCAAGAAAGACATTTTTTTAAAATCCTGTTTTAAAAAATCCAGCTGTAATAGTGTCTGTATATCTACACTGGTTTACAAAACAATATTAGAATTTAGTTACGGACAATTTTTGGGAAGACAATATTTTTTAAGCTTTTTTTGTATCAGTAAGTTAGAGAGTTGGCTGAGTTAAAATCTCACTATTGGAATTTTTTTCTTGTATAGCAATTCTTTATCATTTTTATCCTGTGAATGATGACATCTTTCTAGTGATAAGATCAAGGCATCTCATGTGTTATCCAAGAATTAGGCTTTACAGCAAACAGCAGATGTATGGATTTGACAATCAGGGAACAGATTTTGAAGGCAAAGTCTTTGGGAAAGAAATACATGTAGGTAATAAAAACCTTAAAGGAACAATATGTAGGGACTCGTGGGGATAATATGCCATGTCTTGTTTTTGCTCTATGTGAGAGAATCTGGAGCTGTCTTTGAGTGTACAATTAGGGAACAGAATGATGGCCTAGACAAATATGAAAGAGAGCTACCGTGTTGCTGGCTTCACCTACAGTAGGGATGGGTGTTTCTGCATATGGTCCTGGAACTGAAACATGGCTTCAGGGTGATATTTTGTTATTTTTGACACTAGAAGATTTCACCACCATAGACATTAAACCTTCAATTAAAATATGAGCAACTTCAAGCCATATATATTGTCATCTGATTAGTGGCATTTCTCCAGTATTCTCCTTCACTAGGATTTCTCCTACTTTTAAAGCTGAGCATTAGAACTGACCAGGAGTCTTCTTTTCCTTGCCACATGAGGCCCACTACTTTAAGGAAGGTGGGAGCTTCTTGTCACTTGCTGGCCAAGGTGATTTATGAAAAATCTTCACAAATCAATAAAAATATAGGAAATATATCATTTAAAAGAGAGAGAGTGAGAGAGGGGGAGAGAGGGGGGGAGGGAGGGAGAGAGAGAAGGAGAGAGAGAGAGAGAGAGAGAGAGAAACACACAAGATGAGCCCATTAAGGGCACAGCCGTTCTAATACCTGATGTCTGCTTGGGTCTGCAATTAAAAACATTCTGATCATAAATCTCCTTGCAGTCTCTTTTAATGCTTTTAACTTTCCTAAAGGTTCAAATTGGTATCCCAAAAATGTGCCAGGACTTTCACAAGGTATTTTATAGACTCATAAATAAATACAGCAATTAATCTATGCTGTATTTCTTTCATATTTGATGACAATTTATTATGGTGTTCACCCATTTGGTGCACAAAAA